GCTGTGTGGGAGGGAGGCCTGGGGTCCTCCTGCCACATCTGCCCAGGTTGCTCCAAGCATGTGGGCGCAGTGATCGCGCCTGCGGGTGGCAAGAAAAGCCAAGAAAGGCTTTGCTTCTGCTCACCCCACTCTGCCCCAGCAGGTTTCTCCACGGAGGCTGCAGCCCCTGACAGCTGTGTCCACCAACTCCAGCAGGCCCTGCATATACCCTGGGGGAGCAGCAGATGGGGAAAATACCCTGACACCAGGCAGACCCTCTCAGCCAGAGGCTGGAGCAGTGTCACTGGTGCTTGGTGGCCCTGCCCGAGGCCCACAGTTTGGGCAGCAGAGATGTTAGGTCGCGTGATAAACCAGCCCCCTGGCTGCCCCTTTGCTTATTTACTTCTTTTCACAGGCAGCTTGGTTTCTGTGACTGTTTCCTACAGCCAGTGTGGTATAGCAGATCCCACGGACAGGAAGGCCACCCTTCACTCTCGAAGATACCTCTGGCCGAGGCCATGGTAGCACAGCTGGGCCAAGCCAACTTTGGGGCCGTGGTGTGGGGATCATTCTGGGCCCACACTCAAGAGTCACTAGGGTGGGGGAGCCTTGCTTCAAGCCGGTCCTGTTCTGGCATGTCGCTCCAGGGACAATGCATCAGCCAAAGCCCCATGGATGCTGGCACCTGTCTGCTGACCTGGGAGAGTAGTGCTTACCCTGGCCACTGTCACCAGCATCCTACTCACTTTTCCAGCTTACCCAGGGGAGCCAGGGATGCCCTGCAGGAACTGATGGCCTCAGGAAGTTTTAGCACCACGGAGGACCCTGGCTGGGGCTGCTGTTTCCTACCTAAATTGGAAGCAGCTGCTGCCAGATGTGTACGAAATTCCCAGATGTGCAAGAACAAAATGAGGAGGTGCGATCACTTCTATCCAGTATAGAAATTGATGGTTCAAGTACAGATTGGCATCAAGAAATCAATCTTTCCACCAACTGCCATCCTAAAAAGAAGGTGGATTTTTCAGAGTTAACAATCAGGGGGAGTGGGGGCTGGATCAACCCTGAGAGAGAAGCTGGACGGGAGAAGTAGAGCCATTTAACGAAGGGAGGAAGAGCTTTGGATTTGACTTAGAAGAGGCTAAGTGCCCTGGTTTGTCTGGGACCCCCCTGGCTCGTGCCTGTCGTCCTAGCCACGTGTTTAGTGTTGGCCCCTTTTACTTGCCAAGAAGTCCAGGTTTGCATGATGAATGCTGTGCACCTCCTTTCCCAAAAGAGGGAGGGAGTTAGGGCAGGAGAGGAATCTGGAAAGGACATGGGGCTCCTGAGTCCAGCTGGCAGAACCTAGAGCGGGCTGAGGAGAGGGCAGGCTGCTCCACTCTGAAGCACACTTAGAATGACAGGTCATCTCAACGCCCGCCCGCTGGTTTGGGGCATGGACGCTGGAAGGGTCCTTGGGGTCATGTGCTGACCTCTTTCACTAGAAGAGAGCACTAGGATGAGAGATAAAAATGACCTGCCCAGGCCCACAGGCTGGCTCCTGGTAGATTGTCCGCCAGATCAAACCCCAGGGCTCTTCTCTGGGATGGAAGGAGAGGGTGACACTCCAGATGCTGCAAAGGAGGAGGAGACACATGGGCTGCGCACCCCACGGTTCCCAGGCCAGGGGGGCACGGCTGTGTGGGGCACTGGAGGGAGGACGAGAGGCTGAGGGGTAGACCCGCTGAGCTTGCTGGGATGTGAGGCTGGAGCATGGGTGAGATCCAGAAGCCTCAGGGGAGTGATAGGCAGAGCCATGCGTGAGCTGGCTCTCAGCAGACCACAAAGACCAAATAGATGAATCGGCAAGAAGGACTATGAAGGAATACGGAAAAAGCTAAACACCCAGACCCAGGGGCAGAGGCCTGGCATCCCAGCACTCTGGGAGGCTGAGGCAGAAGGATGGCAAGTTTGAGCCCAGCCGGGGCAACGTAGCAACTTCTTGAGACTCAGAATAAGAAATGCAAAAAAGGTCTGGTGACGTAGCTCTAGGTTCAATCTCCAGTACTAAAAAAAGAAAAAGGAAAAGAAACAGCTAAGCACGGAGACAAAAAAATAATAATCAAAAAGTAAATGGGGCCAAATAAGCACCTTATGGAATCTAAGTCTTTATTCCATGCGAATAGTAGTGAAATCTTGCTGAAAGGCAGCCTCTCATACGTAGCAACTGTCTCACCTTTGAGTACCTCTTTCCTAGTCACTTGCAAGGGTGGGAAGAACTTTAAGTCAGTACCAGGCTTGACCTCTGCTTGGCGGATGGGAAAACTGAGTCCCAGCAAGCAGCCTCTTCTGTCTTACACACCCGCTGGTTTCGTACTAACAAACCCAAGCGTCGCCCCTGGGGCCACACTTGTGTCGAGGTTGTCACAGTCTGACCCCCGTGTGCCTTTGTGATGGGGAAGGGCCGGGCTGGGGATTTATCTGAATTCTCTTATCCACATGATTTCTCAGAAAGAAGCCAGCCTGCAGGCCTGGAGACCTGGCGGTCTGTTCCTGGTTCTACTGCCTGTTGGCTAACTGGGAAATGGTGGTGAGTCATCACTTCCTCTTCCTGCCCACCCTGGTCATCAGAGGAGCGCTCTGGCCTCTGCCATCTCAAAGCCTCACAATTTCTGCCTTTTCAGGGGCATGTGCCCTCCGCTTTGCCATCAGCTCGGTTCTGTGTTCATCTCTCCCTTCTCCTTAGCGGCTCCTGTGTAGGGGACACTCACAGATCAGAGGAGGAGAGTGTCCCCAGGCCTCAGCGACCTTTGATAACGTAGGGATGGATCAACACGTATGCAAAATATAATTGTTAATATAATCTGGTTTTGCCTCAGCAAATTTTCATGTGGTTGAGTTCCATGTTTAAATTCACTGCAGATAATCTGCAAGGTGCGCTGGAGCAAGTGTACGACAGATAGCACGTGACTGTCATCAAAATGATCTACTGTCACCCCGAGTTCTCTCACACACACATTTACAAAGAACCTGCATGCCAGTATCACACCCACACAGTGGCCTCCCATAGGTGACATTAAAAAAACCTCAATCTCCTGAAAAAAATCATGAAATAGTTTCAGAACATACGAACAGAGCACACGTTTGTGTTCAGTGAAACTTCTTTGATGGTGCCTGTTCAAATATCTGCAAATATTGTGAAAACACCCACAGACATCACCCTCGGTTACTGTGGTCACACGGGCTGCAGAAACCAAAGGGAAGAACAAAATACCGACTGTTGTGCACATTCTGGGACATCACAGGCCGTCTGAGCTTTCTTGTCCCAAGCCCAAAATGATAATTTCTAACCATGCGTGCTAGAGGAGCCAGCCAGGTACAGCAGCAGAGGCAGCAAGGGGAGACTGAGAGAGGAGTTGGGGGCTTTGGGTGTGGCATCTGTCTCTACCCACTCACACTCGATAAGAAGATACTCAGAGAAGGGCTACAGTGTCCCGAACCCTTGTGGGACACCCTGTAAGCACAGAGACAGCTACAGACGTGGAGGTGTGGGCTCCTGAGCCGGATGCAGGTGCCCCAGGCTGCCTCTGAGATGCCCACGTAACCTCCAGGTGGGGCTCACCATAGGGCCAGGGGGCACACAATAGTTTTACCTACTGAAAAGGGTCATGATGGGCAGAGGGAGAAGACAATGGAGGAGCATGAAAGAGCAGAGGGTAGAAGGAAGTGCTGGACAGAGTGGAAACAGAGGGCCAAAGTCCCTGCATCCTCATCTCCTTAAAGAGGGAGTGGATGTAAAAAAGTGAGGGTCAAGGGCTTCTTGAAGGCTGCTTCAAGGTCACAGGAGGTCGGCCTGTACAGGAGGAAATCACCTTTGGAAATAGGCAGAGAACAGAGAGCTCACTGTGGGAACCCAGGGACAGCAAGGATGCTCACGTGGCCAGATCTCTGTCCCGCCAAAATGGAGTACGACACACCCAGCACTGAGAATCAGGGCTCCTTGAGGAGCCCCACACTGGGAATCAGCACCCCTTCTTCATCATAAAATTAACATCACTGAAAGCTTTAAAAAAGTGGTAGACCAAAAATATCACACTTTAGGCAAATGAGTTGAAAATCCCTTACAGCAAAATCTTGTTTTTTCCACCCATTTCTCAAGTCAGGGGACACCTGGTAAAGAAACTGGTGTTTAGGTAAAGAAATGCAATTCCTGGTACACGCGGTTTCCTGACGCTACCGGGTGGAAGTGACATCATGGAAACCCATGTGCCTCAAGGTCAGCCTGTACAGTTTCTGGGTGAAAACAGGAGTCTTAGTCATCAGTGGAAAAGTGTGTGTGTGTGTGTGTGTGTGTGTGTGTGTGTGTGTACCTGTGATCTGCTTGCTGCTAACTGCTTTGCGCCTCCACAGATGAAGTTTTGGTCAAGTTTGTGCAGGCTGAGTGCCAGGTTTTTCCACATGCTCAGCTCCCCTCAAGATGGGACATTCCACCCCTCGCTTGTGTCATTTGGAAGGAAATAAAATAATTGCTACTGAGAAGAAAGGAAGTTTGTCTTCTACTCCTGGGCGAGGAACCTATGACATCAGATGCCCATCCCAGCGGTTAATATGAACAGTCTCATTTGTATCACGTTCCCTATGGTGACAAAAGTGAGGATGTGGCAGATTCGGCATGTACGGACTCCTTTGTCTTAATTAAAAAGTATAGTGGGAGACATGGAATTTGGCCGAGCCTCATAAATCTGCTAAAAGAATCAAGACTGTCAGATAAGTTTAAATAGAACCAACCAAGCCCTCTAGAGAATTAAGTGGATTCCCTGCTAGTAGTTGACACCCACTTTTCTGTCACTTCTGCACCCCATGGACGGCGGCTGTGCTCATTAACCAGCAACACTCCCCACCTGCGGATGACAGGCATATCCCCACGGAGCGCGGAACTCAGACATGATAAATTTACTCCCGCTTGTAAAAAGGGAACTCTCCTCAGGGCAATAAAAATGCTGGGAGGCTTTAAGGAAATAAGTACTTTATCTGATAACCTAGCTTCATTAGCAAAGCCCGGTCCTCCAGGTCTGGACAGCTCCTCACCACCAGGGAGAACTGCTCCAAAGAGGCTTTGAGGGAAGAAAGAGAAGCGCTGAGCAGCTCCCTTCAGTCCCGGAGCCTGCCCGCTGGGCAGGAGAACCCTGTGGCTGCGACCCATATAAGGGCACGCTGGCCCTCCTTTGTTGGTGACAGAGAAGAGCGACCTACCTGCCCCTGCATGGCACGGGGCCTACAGAGTGACTTCACCCGATCAGCAGGGAAGATTCCAGAGCACAAGGCCATTAGCAAATCAGAGGTCCTGGCTTCAGCAGCCACGTGGTCCATCCTGTCTCCCAGATCCCGCCCTCTGTCCCCATTCCTGTGACTCCATGGAGAGCATCCCACTCGGGCATCAGCTCCAGCTTGGACTCTCGCTGCCACCTGCTTTGGTGTGACAGCATACTGACCTCTGACTATCGTCTGAGGATGAAGAGAGAATAATCCACAAATTCTGATGCTACGTTTTCTTTACATCGTCTTTTTCAAGGTGGCTTTTTTATTTGGTAAAGTTTATGCTTTGACACACTCTTGATGCAGGCTGTGGCAGTCGAAGCACTTACTGCTGAGCTCCTGGGAGGCTACTTGAGTTTGACTCCATTCCCTCCTCTGTGGGAAGGGTCCTAGGGGCTCCTCCTGGACATTTAGGCCCCTAACAGCCCACGCATTGGACTCCGCTGTGACACTTTCCATTGTTCTCAAGACATCATACCCTGTTCAAGTTGCCTTGAGCTCCATACGTCCAGTTCAAACCAGTGGGCTTTCAGGAGGAGCTAACCTTTGCCAGCACCATCCCCTTTCTTCGGACCTTCTCCCACCAGCTACGGGGCTTTCCAAGTCAAATCTCTGCTTCTTCGCCCACATCCCAAGTGGCTGGCTCACTGCATCGCTCCCACAGAGTTGTAGCTTTGACTCCTGCAGACCCACCTCACTGGAGCCCCGCCTCAAGGTCCACCCTCCCTTCTGGTCACTTTGTCCTCCTCTTCCCCTCAGCAGACCCAGCAGTCCCTGAGCTCTTGTGCTTATGCCACGTCCCTCCCTCTGCTGTCTTAGCACCTTTCTCTGGTGCAAACTGGCCTCTCTGACAGCTCCTCACTGTCACTATTCCAAGGCCCCATGCCTGGCCACATGATCCCCTCCCTGTCTCCCTCCCTTTCCCTAGATCTGACCCTTCTCCGGGGCCAGTAGGTCAGAACTTAGTGTCTTCATCCTGCTACCACCTGCCCTGCATCCTGGGACAAGTCACACACCTCTGCTGAGCCTCGGGTTCTACTACAAGCACAGGTAGAAATGGTGCCTGACCCCTGGAGTTGACATGGGGACCGAGGGAGAGGCTGAGTTAAACTGAGGGCGACATTGGCATGCCACCAGGTAGATTCTAGGAAGCTTTTGCTAGTCCGTTAAGGAACTAGCAAAAGGAAGGAAGCTTTTGCTAGTTCCTTAACTAGCAAAAGGAAGCTAAGGAAGCTTCTCTGTCCGTTAAGTTCATCCCCAGTTGATGTTTCGGTGTGACACACTGCATGTTCAGCTTCTGTTTTTGGACTGGTCTTTGAGCTTTAGATGTACACACTGACCTTGGTCCCCGAGTGGGCTTAGAAGACAGGCCTGCCTCTTGGCCTGGACTTTTCTATCCTGTCACGTCCAAAGCTGAGACACCACCCGTGCAACCAGGCTGAAGTGCATCTGTGGGAGCCCAGGGCCACCCTGAAGATGACTGGAGTTGTCTCCTCAGGGGCTGGCTGAGTTTCACAGGAGGAGCCCCTAGGACCCTTTCTATACAGATGACACCAGCCAGCCCTGCGGGGGGAGACCAGCTGCAGCAGGACATCATGCTTTCACCTGGGCTTAGATGTCAGTATGACAAGCACATTTCGGGGGGCAGTGGGCTCATCCTTCACCACACTCGACTCTGGTTCCTACTGAATCCCAACAAGGAAAGGGAGGGTGGGCACTGCTGGCTACCCCCTCCAACACATCAATGCAGCCACTCCTCCGGGCTCTGTCTTCTCCCACAGCTGGGACAGAGAAGCATCACTCTCTGGTATGGACAAGCTGATGTGTTGTGCCCACCCTCCTTTCCCCCAACTTTTACATAGGGGAAAAAGCCTCAAAATGAAAGCATCTGTGCTATCAGCTTCCTTCCACCTCTGTGGCTGGCACAGGGGGCTGGTTGTCTAATGAGCATAAGACAACATATTATAGTGAGCCATGCATGCTCATGTTTATGGCAGCACAGCTCACAACAGCTGAAGTCTGGAAGCAGCCTATTTGTCCACAAACAGATGAATGGATAAAGAAAATGTGGTATTTATACAGTGGAGCGCTACTCTGCCATGAAGAAGGATAAACATGAGTTGTTTGTAGGAAAATGGGTGCATCTTGGGAGCACAGTGCTAACTGAAATAAATCAGACACACAAGCTTAAATAGCGCCTGGTTTCTCTTATATAAGAAACCCAAAGTATAAATAAATTAAAGACCAAAATAAAAGACGGGTAACAGGAAACAGGGAGACAGATCTTCTGCAAATGGGAAGGAGCGCCAAGAGATGGAGGGAGTGGAGGAAAAGAAGGGGACATAAGAAAGAATCAAGCAGTGCTGTGTACCTGGACCAACTCCCCACGACAAAAGTAGAGATTATGCACTGCAGACACGTAGTAGTAAAAACAAAAAGTAAAAAGACAACGAGCCAGGCTGCCAAAGCAGCACCAGTGAAGCACAAGGTCCCCATGGGGGTGCGATTTCCCCTAAACACCTCCGTGTGGGATCATTGTCCCAGGGCCACACCCCGTGTCTCCACTGCCCTGTGCGTTCTGGAGCCTGCAGCAGGGGACTCGCCCAGCTGCGTGCCTCGAGTTACCTTCTTCCCGACCAAATCTCCCTGCCGCCGTGCCATGCAAAGAAGGGCCTGTCAGGACAGAGGCAAGAGAGCTTGTGGTTGGCGAGGAAGGAGAGGGGAAAGCATAACGGGGCAAAAGATCTAATTCAAGACAGAAAACGAGTCATCTGGGGGAGAAAATACAGACCACCACGAAACACGTGCTTCCCCTTCTGACTAAGAGCTGCAACGGCAGGAGGGCGCCCTGCCCCACCGGCTCCCCCGCGCCACTTCTGCATGGGAGATAGGATCTTGCAAAATGGCAGATACCTACAACGAAAGGAAGTAGCTGCCCCCGGAATAAATTTCATTATGACATGTTGCAAATCAGGGGAGCAAAAACACAAACCAAATGCACAATTCTATTGTGCGTATTACCAGCACTTTTCCAGGGCTGGTAAGACTGGACTCTATTGCTAGAGTTGATCCGGACACAGGACTCACAGGGGCTGTCTTGCTTAGTAATTCCGTCTCAGAATCTCTGTGCATGGCGCTGGGTGATAGGGACCCTGCCCCGGGAAGCTGAGCAGCAGAGAGCCCTGCTCTGGCGGTCTTCCCACTGCACTTTCGTATAGCGCTGCTGGGGAGCCGACCTGCAGGCTTCACCCCACTTCTGCAGGGGCCCTAACTCCCTGGTTTTCCCAGTCCAAATACCTTGAGTCTCTTCCCTGCAAAGGGCTGCTGGTGGGAGCCACGTGGACAGGTGGCCAAGGGCAGCTGTCTGCAGGGCCATGGGCAGATTTGGGTGTTTAGACTGCAGAGTCCATGCAGTGGGATGGGACTGGTACAGAAGAAGGGGCCGCTTGGAGCAGGGCAGCTGCTTCCCCATGTGCAGAGTTCCCCCAACTTAGAGGAGTCTGAGGGTGTGAAGCTGGAGCCTGGCCTTGTGGATGAATGAAGCTATGCGCGCCCACCAGGCAGGAAGGCAATGTCTGCCTTCTCCAGCCCGTGACAGCTCGCTGTGCACTCCTGTCTGGTCCCACACAGGCCAGAGGGCTCCTGCTAGAAGACGAAGCCCTGACACTGCAACATGGCTCGCTCTGCCCCCTCCGGAGTTCGGCCGTTGTCGCCAGCCCCAGGAAGGGACGCTGTGTAGCTGCATGAGAACGCAGCTTTCAGCTTTGCTACCTACAGTGAAGATGGAGGAGCCACCAGCCTCCTCTCATGCGGGACAGGAGCATGAAGGCTGCACCTGCCCCTAACAGATGATCCACGGCGAGGAGTCAGGGCTGAGCATCCCGGGGCCAGGCAGCCCTCTGTGCGAGCGGGGTCCTCCCGCCACCCTAGGTGGAGGGACCCACCTCCGCTCACACCCTCTTCCTGGAAGCCTGGATCCCTCATCATGACTCCTCTCGCCGTGATTCTGTAGCACAAGGCGTGGCGCGGTGGCCACTGCCCCTCAGCCCTCTCCTCTCACCTGTGTGTGACGGTGGTTCCTCAGCTCATGCTGCAGAGCTGTCTGTCACCAACCCAGGCCCCTGAAGTCCCCCGCTACCTCTTCACAATCTAACCGGGAAATGGAGATGGGTGGGGTGTTTGTTTTGCAGAAAAAAAAACAAAAAACAAAAAACCCCACCAAGCTGTTTTCAAAATGAAAGCAGAGGATGAGCAGGCCCTCCTCACTCCTTGGCAGTGGGAGTGGAGGTGCATCCAGCATCCTGCACTGAGACTTAGTGGAAAGTGTGGAGGTGCATTAGGGCACCTGTAAGTGTGGGTGAAGGCATAGCTCACTGCCCATCCCTCAGCCTACTCTGTCACCAGCTCACACTTTCTGCTCCAGAGAGCAGCGGAGCATGTTATGTGCGGCCCTTGCCTCTCTGTCCCCACATCTGGGAGCCCACAGGAGCCAGCAGGTGTCCCAGTGTGGCACACAAGCCCTGGTCTGTGAGAGGTTTCACCATGTGTCTGGGCTCTCAGCATGGCAGTAGGGCCGCTGCTTCTCTGGGGTGAAGACTCCTTCCTGCCCCCAGTGCCACCAGACCTTTGTCCTCTGGCTTGCTGGCTACATCTGCTTGCTCTGCTCTCCACCCCCTGGATCTCTTTTGCAAAGCATCGTGTCTCCTGAAGCCAAAAATGTCTCCCTCCAAAGGTTCTGGGTGTGAGGGTCCTGCCTGTCCAGCTGGGCCTCTTCCTGTGCTTCCTACTGCTGCCCAGCCAGGCCCCGCTCTGCAAAGCATCATCCAGCACTCTGGGAGCGCCTGGCCCACCTTTTCTGTCTTGTCATCTCGATGCTGTTTGCTGCTCTCCCCACTCCCTACACCTCCCTTCCAGCAATGCAGGACCATTGCCTTCCCTGGACAAGCCTGTCATGCCGTCGCCTCCCCTTCTGTGCTCTTTCCAAAATGCATCCTCAACTTTGGGCTCCTATTCATTCTTCAAGACCCATTCCTGTAAGTCTTCCACATGGCCATCTGGAGTTTGCAAGTACGGGTCGCTGCCATGGGCTCGACCTATCCTATGTGTATGAGGACACTTGTGCTCACACCTTATTCCCGCCCCTGGATTGAAGAGTGTCATGGTCTTCTGATCATCTGAGCCCAAAGTCTTCCAAATAGGAAGTTTGAAAATGTCATAAGCAAATCAAAGAACAGGACTCTTTCCCCCACTCCCCTGAAGTCTGCAAGAAGGGCGATGTGCCGACCAAAGCCGTGCTTCTCCAGGCAGGCGCGGTGCCAGTTTGGCAGCTGCCTGAGAAGAGAATGGTAATGGGGTCTCGGTGACATCTTGGAAGCCTTGACCTAGTTCGAGGCAGGGGAGTGGTAAGTGGCTGCCAAGTCCTACATGTGGGTGGTTCCCCGAGGGGGTGGGGCGTCAGAAGGGCCGGGGGAGAAGCAGCCGCCCTCTCTCTGCACACAGGGTGCTGCACCCCGACCTGCATCCTCCTCCTTAGGGCTCCTTCCCGCGGAGAGATTGCTAAGGAGCACCGTCTGGGTCTTGGGCTCAGGCACAGACAGTCAGAGTCAGCCCGGGGCAGATGAGGCCATTCCCTTGGGTGGCTTCCCAGGGCAGCCCTAGGCTTAGCCCAGGGAAAAGACGCAGAGCCTCAGATGGCCATGGTGGAGTTAGGATCACCACGTCTTCTCCCTAGCACAGTCACCACCGGCGGGGAACAGTCTTTTCTCTGCAAAGCCCCTCACCCCAGTCTGGAAAGTCAACTCCAACAGCAATACCCCTGCAGCCCCCTCACCATCCGGCCAGGGAACAGAGTGGGTGATTTGGGAAAACAACAAACTGGACTTGATGTAGATTTAAAACAAGACAGGGACAGCAGCAGTGCTGGAAAAGCTTCCAAAAGCCCCAGCCAGGCCCTGCCTCTCCCCAGGCTCCCTACTGACAGTGGATGTTAACAACAAAATCTCCTGGCTGGGACACACAGGCCTTGGAAGACTTTGATGTACACCCCACATGGGCCCTGCACCCAGCCGTACTCCAGCCCGCACCCTGGCCCGCACCCCAGCCACCCCAGCCACAAGCGTCCCCCCCAGTCACATAGGCGACTCTTGCCTACCCTTGCAAAGCAAAGCCTCAGATGCCCCTTGCCTTAGCCAGGCCTTTTGGGAACGCCAAGCACCCTATATTCCATCGGACATACGTCACTTTGGTGTTCTGCTAGGGTGCCTGATGTAGGGCAGCCCTTATCCTGGGTCTACTACAGTTCAGGGAACTGGGGCAGTTTCTTACTGGATCATTTAAACCCAGAACTCAGCACTGTCTCTGGCACACAACAGGTCTTCGACAAACACACACTGAATGCAGGTGGCTAAACTTGGGAGTGACCAAGGATGTTCCACATCAGGCCTGTTCCTGAAGGCCAGGTGTGCACGCAGGTGCTCTGTTCTGTAGCTCAAATGCTGCTTCTTCAGGCAGCAATTGGAGTTGAGAGTGGGAGCAAGTCTTGACTTCTCCAGGAGGTCCTGCTTCTCGGTCCCACTGTCTTAGGCCATACCTCAATTCCATTCCTGGGGACCAACGCTGACTGCAAGCCTCTCGCAAGAGGAAAGACCAGCGCTAACTAAGGTCAGCTGCTCACATCTGCACTGGGGACCTAGGCATTTTCAACAGAAGTTGAGCATTGCCTTAAAATATCTTTTTGCAGCAATTATCAGAAACTCTCAGCTGCATGTCCACAGCCCTGGGATGGGTTTGCTCATAGCTGAAGAACAATAAAATACCCAAGGGACAAGAATCTTTGATATTCACTACATCAAGAAACTGTTTCACATACTGAGAAACGGTTCATTGGAACATCCTTAAATGACATTTTTTTTCTGCCATGTTATGTTGATTTTTGCCTTTGTGATTCACAAGCTTTGATTCTCCCGTCCACAGTAAGAACTGATCAGAGGCCATCTCTGTAAGTCTTTTTTGCTGCACTCTTGGACACAGGAGCATCTGCACATCAATTTATAAAACAGGGGGATTTCTTGATTATCTAAGCTGCTCAATAAGAGAGAATTTCTGAGTGATTTTCGGGATCTGGGGAGAAACAAGGCAGTTTCACCAATTTCTGTTTATATCGATATTAAGTGAAATTTCCCTATCAAGTATTCAACATCCACTTTGCTATACCAGCTCAGGGGGTCGAAGTAGAAGAGAGTGAACTATCGGTGAAAACCTCACTTTTAGTTATCTTGTGATCTTTTCCCTTATTTAATACTCTACGCCACTTTCTGTAGATATCAAAACGTGTTAAATAATTATATCTGAGGATGAATGCTCCTTTTCTCTCTTCAGTTCTCATGTTTCTGAATAAGAGCCATCATTTTCGAGTTAATAGAGCATTATGTTTTCTTTGCAAATAAAATCTCCTAAGTCATAAGCAAGGAGAGAGGCAAATTCATGGTGAGAAGACACAGCACTATTTTTCCTCCTGGCATTTGGGATCTATGATAAGTTAAAAATGATGTTTTTATCTCCGGTGATTTATCAAACTTGAGATTTCATGAAAGATAAACAGATGCGCTGAAGAAAGAATACATCATCTTAATGCTTTGGTTTGACACTTTGGGTATCTAACAGGCATTTATCCTAAAGAGCTCCCTTCTAAAAACTTAATAGTTTCTGTGATTTACACATTTAATTCTTGTTTTAAAGACACACTGAAGTGAGAAACGGGCCAGGAGGCACTGTTTAGGAAAATGGTCACATTAGAAACGTACAGATTATTTATAGAAGAAAAACTCAAGGGCTGAAAGAAAATCTGGTTGTCAACAGACAGTTGCTTTTTCTGTTTTTTTTTTCTGTAGTTCATTTTGGTTTTTGTGTGGGAGGCTCATGTGAACTCAAAGGTGGTTTGCTAAATGTTTTTGAGATTAGAACATGTCCTTTAAAGCCCAAATTTAAATTGATGTTTACATGGCAAGCATGGTTAATTTTACAATGTGTGGTATGGGATTTTAAAAAAAAAAAAAAAAATATATATATATATAATACTATCCAGTGTTGCTATGATAAAAGTTCCTACACTTTAATTTTTATTCACAATATGGATGGTTTTGTTCTTAAACCTAAACCTAATTAAAAACTCACAGTATCTAGGTGCTCACTACAAATTGGACTTTTTCTTCCCTTTACTTTGGTACTATTTTTATTTTTGTCCATCCGTGTGGATACAAATCTAACCTTATTTTGAAATAACTTAGGCTACAGAAGATGTAACTTCAGCTGAGAAAGCTGACAGATCTTTGGGTTTCATTATGCCAGATACAATTATTTTTTAATCATGTAGTGGGAAGCAAAGGAGCAAAAGCACATTTAAAAACTGGGGAGGGCTTATTTTTCTCACCTTGTTAGCAGTGCTGAGCTGTCAGATACTGGTGTAGTAAACCCTACAGGCCCTGATGTGTGGGCAGCAGTCTCCTGGGGTTTGAATCTTCCTCTGTCTCTTGTAGCTGTGTGACCTTCAGCAGCTTATTTAACCTCTCTGTGCTTCAGTTTCCTCAGTGGACTTTGTGAGGTTGCTGTAGAACAGTAAATTAAACACATTACAAGAACCACACTCTCAGTGTGGTTTTGGGCACAGAACAAATGCTCACATAAAGATTGCTGTGATCACCCCATTCTACCAAGGTACCAGGCCCAGAAGGTAAGGGACATCCCATTAGCCTGTGGGTCCAGTCCAGCAGCTCTGTTCTGTTCTCAACAGGCTCCCACAAGATGACCTCTTCAGGATTCTACCTGTAGCTTCTTCTCAGTGCAACAGAGTTCTTGGGTTATTTGGGGTCAGACTGCCTCACGAATGGTCACTACCTTCCAAGGCAAATGAGTCACAGTCTCTCGGGACAGCTGTCCCCGGGGCAGACTCCCAAGTGCTGGGATGGCCACAGGCTCTGCACTTCAGGAAATAGCATGTGGAGTCCTTGGGTCCAGCCGCCCCTGACCTCAAGGTCACCAATGTTGCCACGAGGGAGAAGGCGAGGCTTCTAGAAGGAAACCGCAGCTCCAGGATGACAGGCGCAGCCCGCTGGATGCCAGGCAGAGGCTCTTCCCTGGGAGCGCCCCGGTTACCCAGTTCCCAGAGGAGGACAGGCTACTACTCTCATAAAAGACAGGGCACTCTGTGATCTGAAACTTCTTCTTTCCCCGTATCTACCTGACTTGCACAAAATTAAACGCAGTTTGCCAAATGTGCACGCCCTGCCAGGTCTGAGGACTAGAGACTGCTGCACGCTTCCATTTCAAACATGGTTTTCCCTCACCTTCTGGGGACAAGCGGATACTGAGGCCAGAAGGCGCTTTCTTTCCATTTGTTCCTAAGAAGAATGGCTCAATTCTGAGGTCATTTTCACCTGGGGTGACATTAAGTGAAGGGGCACTTCAACTCCCGTCCTGTTCCTCCTCCGTCTTCCGGAGGAGGAGCAGCTCTTTTTGAAGAAAAGCTTCATTCTTCATTCTTCATTCTTCATTCTTCATTCTTCATTCCGGAAGAGCAGCTCTTAGTGTGGCACAAAGCACCTATGTTTCTGCTGAAGGTGGGCTCCGTGTCACCAGGCACCTCTGCTCGGTCTCCACGGCCACAGCTCTCCCAAAGCACCCCGGCAGGGTAGTCAGACGCCCAGTTCTTGCCTGTTCTCCTCCTCCCACATGTGGTCCCCTGCTGGATTTCCCAGACTTCAGAGGTGAAAGGCCCAGAGGCCCGGACTCCCTGGCTCCTGAAGAATGTGCAAACGTTTGCCCAGCCACCCCTGGCCACCGGGCACCAGATGAAACGGTGACCTTCAAGTCCCAGAGGCACCTTCTGACCACAGGAACTGTTCTCAGGCACAGGATTCCGCCCTGTGTCTGGAACAGATGCAACAAAGGTGGACTTTCCCTTTCTTCCCCAGTGCTAGGTCTGCTGGGATCTGGCAGTGAATTTATCTGCCCATTCTTGGCTCCCCAGATGCCCTGGCTGGCTTCCATGCCCACATGTTTAATGGAGCCCAGCCAAAGAGAGAGGTCAGTGGCCAAGGCAGAATACTGGGGCTCACCCACTTCCTCAGACGCAAGGAACCATTCTAAAGCTTGTCCCACCAGCAGAGGGGTGCCAGCGGGAAGGGAAGCACTCTTGTCACAGCCGATGCAGTCCCTCTGGATCCCCCCTCTGACTATACCTCCATTTGCCTCCATGGGTAACTGCACAATGCAGCAGAAACCTGTTTTTAAAGCATGAGACATGCTCACTTGCAACCTTTGTTTCCACCCCACATTAGTTTGTCTTTCAGCTGAGAGGACCCGGGGTCAGGGGTGACTTGAATAATTGAGTATAAGGGGATAACAAGTACCCAGATTCACACAGGACTTCTGGTTAAAGTTGAGGCACTTAGTGTTTCTGAGCTTGCATAATGTAATGCAAATTCAAGCAAGTGGTGAGTATATTTCCATAACTTCGTAGAAGACAAATGCCAAAGCTAAAACAAGGTGAATGTAGTTTGTGTAAAGGATAACCCCATTAATGAATGGGAGGAAAATGCTAATCCCATAAAGAATATTGGAACAGGCACTAATGGATAATATATAGGAGTAAAGTTTTAATAATGCATGTGACCATGCTTTTATTAAAAGAGAAAGTCTTACTTGAAAACACATATATCCTTGAGAGGAGCCCGAAATTAATCCTCAACAGGCTGAACTCCACACCATTATATATTCTAATTATAATTACAACCTGCTCCCAACATGAGTATTCTAAATTATTAGGCATTTTATTAAGACCCAGAAAAGAGATTTCCTGACGCACAGTGAGACTACTCCCCAGCTTTGAGAGAAAGCAAGAAACTATTCTGCCCTGAGCTGGAGAAGGGTGGGTGCCATTTATTGAGTAAAAAGTGCTTACTTTCTTCTTTCTTTCCTTAGGTATCTGTACACCCTGAGGGGCTCAGACACCACCAGGCTTCAGAGCTGCTATTTCTAGGGCAAGATAAAAATGCGTATCACAGAAAAATAACAATTTATCATTGTAACGGTTCCATCCCACTAGAGAAGCCACTAGAGACTGCTTAACATTTCTATTTCAAACATGGTTTTCCCTAGTCTTCAGGTGACAAAAGGATACTGATGCCAGAAGGCCTTTTCTATTTGTTCCTAATAAAAATGGCTCCGTTCTGAGTTCATTTTCGTCTGGAGCGATGCTAAGGTCTTCTGAGTGCTCCGCCTCCCAGTCTCCCAAGACCACATCTGGGCCCAGTCACTGAGGACAGATGGGCTCTGCAGCGCCTTCCCGCATCCCTGGAGACCTCTACCCGAGGCAGCAGGCTCTCTGAGTGCGAGGTGACTAGACTCTTCTGCAGCTGGATCATGCTCACTCTCGTATCCTCAGAACACATTATGTATCTGCTCAAACCTCCTCATTATAGATGGAAATATTCCCAGGCTGTCTAAATGCTGTTGTTGGACTTATTCTTCTTCTGCCTTTATCCCTCTAAATTCTCTTCTTCTGATTTTGAACCAAGGCTAATTTCCAATCACTTTGCTAGTGTGGTTATGCACGAATAAGAGGCTCAGAATCAACCTGGGTTTCTTTTGTGTGGTGGTGGCATCAAGTATATTTTCTCCTGGGGTTAAGATCTCATACATCAAGATTTCATCTACTTAATCTTTCTCTCTTTCATCCTTCTTAAGGAGTAAGTCTGACATGCTGTACCTTGGTTATGGGAACTAAGGAAAGTGAATGTGGCCACATATTCTAGGGGCCAGTTACAGAAGCTGCGTGTGTGCAAAGGCAGCACCAGGGTGGCGTTCCTGTGGGGTTCTTGCTTTTGTCCTCACGAGGAGCCTGGACTCTTAGCACATCCCCATTCCAGCCCTACTGTCCGGCCCTGTGTCATAAGACTCATCTTAGGGTCCAAGAGCCCAGAGCTGGTCCATAGACGTACAGAAGAAGACAGGCTGGTCCCAGCCCCAGCCCCTCCAACCCAGCTCTCCTGGGAATCCTTTGGGCGAGCACTGGGCCTTCTGCAGCCAGTGTAAGAGGTGCTTTACACATGACAGTTAATAATGCGGCACTTGCCTCTTATGGAGCGTCCTGGCTGGGGAGCGGATGGGGAGGTTGGGGTCCCCAGAGGCACTCCTGGGTGGCTGGCCAAAATACCTGCACAGACGCTTGGTGGGACCCATCGAGGATCTCTACTCCACAGGATGGTGTTCAGGATGCACTTGGAGGCAGGCCTTTCAGGTGTGGTGGTGACCAAGCCTAGCCCCGCTCTCCTCAGCCAGCAGCGGCCCATTCCGATGGAAAACCCCGCACAGAACAAGCTCAGTGAGCCCCTGGCCTTTCTCTTTCAATAATCTCCTGTGTGGAAACGGCATGGTGGCAAACAAAGCAGTGATTCCTGAGATGAAATAACAACTTCAACGGCAATTTGTTGTGGATCTTACTTACTGTTTAATGTGTCATTTTATTTGGGTCTTTTGATTTCAAAATGAATATTCGAATTTCTCAATGTCAGTGTTACTGTTGTATCAGGCTGGATAATTCTTAGTTGTGGGGCGCTTGCCTGTGCCCTGTGGGATATTTGGCAGAGTCCCTGGCATCTTCCCACTACCCACTGATTACACTGCCTGCCTCAGACAGCTGAAAATGTCCCCAAGCATTGCCAAATGCCCTCTGGAAGGCTAAAGTGCTGAGAACCACTGATTAAAACGGCTGACCCAGTTTCTTGCTAACTCCAGGACTAAGTTTAAGTAGTAGATCTGGCACGTAGGGCTCTTCAAAGGGGGTGGTCTTTCTGAAGCACCCCTACCTTTCCTATGCACCCTCCCATTTACTTCCTTAGGAACGAAGTCACTGTTGGGCAGCGGGTTACTTTAGGGAGGCCGGTGTTCTGTCAGCAGCTTCTGTCTGGTGCCATTTGCAATTGTCATGCTGTGTCAAGTGAGTAGCTCCTGATGCCTTTAGTGTTGGGCTTTGTGGGTGTCGTTAGGTCAGTGTTCCTAAGCTGAGACCTGATTTATCACAACCTTCAAGTCTCTGAAATTATCTCTACAGTCACTCTCCCAGGGGACCTGCAGAGCCCTGAGCCACCCAAAGACAAATATTTAGCAAAAGCCAACTGACCTGTGTGAGTGCGGGCCAGGGACAGGAAGTGATGCGGTGCAGACACGAGTTCTGGGCTTGGAAGAAGTCCTCCTTCTTGGTGACCACCTGTCAAACCAATGGAAGGAAAATAATCGCTGGTGATCTTCTGAGAGAACTGGACTCAGTAGTCAGGCCACACACCCTAAATTTCCCATACAGCAGTCAGCACGGGCATGGCGCAGACTTTGGTTGGACTCTGTGACACAGAGAAATGACTCGTTTGAGTACATGTCAGAAACCAGGTACAGTGAGTCCAGTTTCCACGTTTAGGTTCATTTCTCACACCTGAAACATGGCAACTACCCAACGTCAACCTTTGAGAAGTAGCAACAGATGTTTCAGATACAATGTGGAGACACAGATACACATACAGTGACCGTTACTGTAGGATCTTTCACTGCATAAAGAATTCCAAGATGAGAACTATTTAGATCTAATACTAAAGAAACAATCTACTGCCTCTTCTCTCCTTCTTCCCTTCCTTCCTTCCTTCCTCTCTCCCTCTTTCTTTCTTTCTTTCTTTTTCTTTCTTCTTTCCTTCCATCCATTGTAATCAGATGGTTCCATTTGTCTTCCCATTGCTTTTTTGAACCCCTGTTATATCTCAAGAACTGGCATTTGGTAATATCATGCTTGCATCTGATATAGGTGAGATGGGAACAATCATAGAAACAATCCATAGTACGTTTGTGTTATTTATTCTCTTCCAAAGGATCCCTTTTGCAAGTCTCCTCTGTATAAGACCATCCTTCACTCACTCCAATGAAAGGAATCTTTTATTCTTGTTTTTCAGTTGTCAGAAAGTGAGGAAATAAAACTGCAATGAAATTAGAATGGCGAAAATACACAAAGAAGGGAAAGATGCCTCATCATGAATCAGGGAGTCACAGTCATTTAGGTGGAGTAAAAGCAGATTCTTATCTGCCCGGGGAAAGAAGTTACACTTGGTACTTCTGACTTTTCTTTGTTCCAGCTTGCCTTTCTTTGTTTCAAAAACCTAATGGTTTGATATTTAAACTTTCAGTCTTTTTTGTGTTCAAGGAAAGAACAGTCAAATAGAAAGTCGGGCTCGAGGTCTCTACTTCTCATTTGTTTTTAACTCACTCTGATGAATCCTCTCAGTTGGAAAGTAGCCTGCTTCCCTGTAGCTCTGCAGTTTCTGCAGGGCCTGGCAGGTCTTGCTGTGTATAATGCCTCCTGTAATAGAGGGCTTTGTCCTCCAGTGGAAAAACAGCGCTGCAGAAAGCCTCTGCGCATGCATAATTCAGCAGGATCACCTGGGGCGGGCAGGCACGGTGTGGAGGACGGTGTCACGTGTGCTTCAGGTTCCCCACCTAATGGGGAATCTCATGGCAGGAGAGGACGAGGACAACATCTGCCTCACTCGTGGGTCAATTTCTCTCTTCACTGGTGTCACAATTACCGCTGAGGGAGGTGTGGCAGAGACAAGCACACCCAGGGAGAAGCCTGCAGAATACCTGTGGCGGGAAGGAGGACCAGAGCCAGGTAAACGTCCCTGGAAGTTCTGAAAGGGGGTCCTGAAACTCTGCCCACCACACTGAAGAGGATAAGGCCAGAAAGCCCTGGAGACAAGCTCTGCTAAGCATGCAGGGACTGTTCTTCACTACTGCACAGGAGGCAGGAGCTGACTGGTACAGATGGGTCCCAGTAGACCTGAGGTCACTTTCTTATTAAAAAAAGAAATAATCTTAGAGTCAGTTCTTCACTGGCCCAGTCAAGAGAAAACCAGGGACAGACAACTGGCTGGAGAAGGGACCCCACAAGGAGAAACACTGCAGGGGGCTCTTTGCAAACCCTGCTATGCTGGCACCTCTCAAAAAGTGCAAGGGCAAAAGAAAAGGCATGTTCACGTTAAGGAGGGACCGTCTTTGAAGGCCTGCCAGCTGGCTTCTGAGCGCTTTTCCTGATATATCACCATCCTGATGCTGTTGCAGGACACTAAGGCAGGCTCAGTGAAACCTCATCTCTGCCAGTGAGAGACCCCTTGTGCACCTCCATACCCACCTCAGGCAGGTAACGGGGAGCTCCAAGGTCCCACAGTGTATCCACAGAAACGTAAGTGCACTAGGCCAGGTGCATAGCAAAGCAATTGATGGAGAAGCTTCTTTGTCTTTGAAACAGAAGGAGATGGCGGAAAAAAATAGTCCGAGGCTAGCTTGCACCATTTTGCAGGCTGACTGTAAAACTTGTATGGGAATATTGGGGACTCTGAATAATCCAAACAATTTTGAGTGGAAAAAGTTGGAGGATGTGCATAAGCTGATTTCAAGACTTTTCTAAAGCAGACCCAAGTGGGCTGACCCAGAAGTAGTGCGGTGGTATCATTCTGTTCCACTGTCAAGTAGCCCTGATAAACAGATCAGAAAGTCGAATTCTGGCTTGGACTCCAAGCATAGAGACAAAGTTAACTTTAAGAATGTCACTTTCCATAACTGTATCCCTGTAACTGCCTGTGCAAGTACAAGATTTCACATGTATTCATTGTGCAAATAATACTGTAAAGAATGGAAACGCACTCTCCCACCTTAAAACAAGTTCATGTGAGGTTTCAGGAAAGAGGACTTTTAAAATGACATAGTCCTTTACTCCAGATCATAAATCTGCTGCTGAAAACCTGTGTGTAAAGTAGTCTTTTGCAAACTAAGTCTTAACATGCACTAGGCACTGCATTAAGTGTTTCATTGTATTGGCTTATTTGGTGGTCAGAAGCCCTGGAGGTAGACATTGTTAATTTCCAATTTGCAGGTAGAAAATTGTGGCACAGAATGGTCGAATAACTTGCACAAGGTTGCATTGCTGAGTTGGGCCTGGTCACCTGTACCTCTGAGCCCAGGTATCTAACCATAGGCTACACTGCCTCCCAATGGACTGAGGGTGAGTGGTTCCCTGGTTCCTTGGCAAAACTGCCCTCCAACACACATTGTTTGTGAAGGTGCATTAGCACAGAAGGTCACACTTAATGTAAACTATATCCCACCCTTAAAGTGTCTAAATAAAAGCAGTGTTTATTTCCTAACAAATCATCACACAGCTCAGACACAGAGCTAAATTCATGTAGAGCCATCTTCCTCATGAAGGGTGTCTGTTATTCTCATTTTTCTCAACACTGTGTTGGAGGTTCTAGCCACAGAAATAGGGCAAGAAAAATAAATTAAAGGAATAAGCAAAACTGTTTGCATTCAAAAATAATTGTCTTTCAGAGAAATTTTTAGGAATATATAATAAAGCTACAAGGCCTAACAAGCAAATTAAGCAGTTATAAGATTGATATTTAAAATCAGTTATATTTCTGTATAACAGCAATGAATAGCTAGGAACATGAAATAAAAATGCCATTACCATAGCATGAAAAAAGTGAAATAGTTATGGTGCGTTTCATACTCTCTACACATGTGAATAAAAAATATTACAATGAAATTTAAAAGGAGATACGTGTGTAGGCCAGAAAACATTATACAATGTAACTTCTTACATTGATCAGCACTATATGCAATGCAAAAGCTAATCAAAATAATGGTGGACTGCCCTTTTTGGAGGAAATTTACAAGCTGATTGTAAAACTTATATGGAAATACAGAGGACTCTGAATAGTTGAAACAATTTTGAGAGAAGAAAGTTAGAGCATTTGTGTACCTTGAGTTCAAGACTTTCCTAGAGCTATGGAAACCATGATGGCATGGTATTAGGATGAGGACAGAAATACAGATGAGGGGAACAAGTCAGAAGACCCAGAACTAAAGCCATACATGTATGGTCAGTTAATTTTATACAAAGGCACCATGGTCACTAGAGAAATAGTCTTCTCAACAAATGTCACTAGAACAACTGAGTAGCCACGAGCAAAAACAAATAAGTAAACCTCAACCTTTATTTCATACCATATACAAAAGCAATACAAAGTGATCCATAGGCCCAAATGTAAGAGCTAAACACATAACGCTTCTAGAAGAAGCTATAGAGGAAAATCTTAGTCACCCTGGGTTGAGCCAAAGTTTTTTGAGCTAAGACATAAAAAGTTTGAATTTCATCAAAATTATAGCTATCCTCTTCAAATGCACTATTAAGAAAAGGCAAATAATGGTCTAGAAGAAAGTACTTACAGATCACATATATAATAAAAAACTTCTATATAGAATTTATAAAAGCTCAGTGTCAAGAAAATAAAGTCCAGCTAAACAAATGGGCAAAAAATTTGAACAGATATTTCACCAAAAAAGATAAATGAATGGAAAATAAACACATGAAAAGGATTTGAGAAATGCAAATTAAGACCACAGTGAGATAGCACTTTACACCCACTAACATGGCTAAGGTGAGCAAGACTGATGCTACTGAGTATTAGAGAGGATGTGGAGCAGCTAGAAATCAGTTGTGGTGGGGATGCAAAATGTTGCAGCTGCTGCTTTGGAAACGATTTGATAGTTTCTTATAAATAGAAGCACAGGTCTACCTTAGAGCCCAGCCATTACACTCACAGGTATTTACGCAAGATAAATAAAAACACATGTTCACACAGAGACTTGAAGGAAAATGTTCATAGAAATTAAATTAATAATAACCAAACAGGAATCAATCCATGTATCCAGCAATGGGTTAATAGGTAAGCAAGTCACATACCTCCACACCAAGGAGTGCTACTCCACAATGAAAAAGGGGTGAACTGCTGATACACAAACACCACTTGGAGGGATCTCAGAATCACCTTCAGTGACAGAAGCCAAATACAAGAGACTATATGCTATGTTATTCTATTTATATTCAATTACACAAAAGCCAAATCTATAGCAAAAAATATATCAATCTTTTCAGGAGCTAGGTTCAGGGGAAAGGATGGACCACAAAGTGGAATCTTTGGGGGTGATGGAAATGTGGGGGAACTAGAATGTGGTGGGAGTCATAGCACCATAAACATCTGTCAAAACTCACAACCTACTCACTTGAAATTGGTAAATTTTAATATATGCAAATGTGAGTATGCCTACTGTTAGAATTGGACACGTAACCTCCATGACCAATGACAGCAAGCAGCTGTGTATTGGGTTTTG